ATTCTCCATGATCTGGAAAATCTCCCATCCTTCTATCATGCAGATATTCACTCCTGCACTTCCATAATGGATTAAACCTCTCCAATATCTCTTGTGTTTTTGTAGCTATGTATTTTTTGATTTGAAAGTTTAGCAGGCATGCTTTCAGATAGTCACATAGTGACAGCTATCTACATACCTGTGATTTATCTGACAAAGCACTTAAGTTGATACAAGGGATATTCATCCACCTGGGGGCTCAGTGATTTGGATCCTATAGGATTAAAAAACCTGGTAAGGCAGATGTATATTTACACTGGCTTTAGGAGCCATTGTTAGGCTCCATGCATACTAGGAACTGAGGAAACAAAAAAAAACAATTGCTGGAAAAAGCTGGATAACAAAATTCCAATATTAGTGTTTCTTTCTAGTGTTTTTTGTTTTAGCGTTGGCATTTTAGCTTGGTTAAGTATCAGGCCAGCAAGCTAGCTGCTCTTGTCCTTAACAACCGATGACTCCCCGCTGACAGCTGAACGTAAGCAAAAGAATTAAAATTAAAAGAAAAAAAAACTGTGGGGCCCCCTACCAATCATACCAGGCTCTTCGAATCTGGACTTAATTTTCAGGGGAACCCCACACCAAAATTAGAAAATATATGGTGTGGGGGTTTGTGGGGCGGGGGTCCACACCAAATGCTGGCACCCATCTGACACCTCTGCCACCTCCAACCACTAAATAAACTGAGGGGCGGGGCCACCATGTAATGTCACCAGATGAACCCCTTATGACATCAATGACTCAGCTTTACACAGCTGAATGCAAAAAACCTGACACATCACTGTACTAACACAAGCGATGTTGGTGCAGTGATCTCCCATGCTGTGCCTTTGTATTCTGACAGGGAGACTCTCCTTTCCCCCACCAGAGCTGTCAGGGATCCTGTCGCTGTGCAGTGGTGCGACGGCGATGGATCCCCTCTAGTCATGGCAGTGCGAGTGCGCAGGCGTGGGAAATCATTGCCTTCTGGTCTACAACATTCCTGCACATATTCCTGATCCTGATACCTGTATTTCTGCATTACCTGACTAAGAAAGAACTCCGCCTGCACTGACCCCGGCTATCCCTGACCATTCGCTTGCTTGCTCCTTCTGTACTTTATCTGCCCGCTTGATACTGACCCGGCTTGTCTGACTCTGCTACATTATCCTGCCTGCACCTGCACCTGGCTTGCATCTTGTCGGCTACCATACTCACTTGCCGCTGCACCCACGGTTCTGCTTCTGACCTGCATCCGGGTCACCGCCATACTTATCTGCTACTGCATCCACGCACCGGTGCCCAGTCCCAATCCGCATCCTGATTGCCACCACACCTGCTTGCTGCTGCACCTACGTTCCTGCACCCGCACCTGGCTTGTGTCCGGATCTCCCGGGTCCCCAGCTACCTGCCGTCAGCTTCAGATCTACACGGCACTCATGCCACTCCTGGCTCTGCGCCCTCTGTTTCCACTATCAGGGGCTCTGAGCGGGAGTTGTAAGAGGACGCCCTTTCTCCACGTCAGGCTCCCCAACCAGGTACGTGGCAAGAGCACACTGATCTTGAGCCATTGGCTGCAAGCGCTGATCGGATGCTAGGTTTCCAGCATGCCTCTTTAACCAAAGCTGGCCAGACAGCTGTACACAGCAGGGGTGAACTGACCATTTGGAAACTCGGGCACTGCCCGAGGGCCCGGGGTCAGTAGGGGGCCCCATGAGATGCCCCTGGTACCTTTTTCATAGGCTTTTTTGAGTTTGGGCAAGGACACAGGGGCCCCATGATCCCCTATTGCCCAGTAGGGGGCCCAATGAGGCCCCTGGTACCTTTTTCATAGGCTTTTTTGAGTTTGGCAGGTCCGCCCCATGATCCCCTATTGCCCGGGGGCCCCACAGTTGTCAGTCCGCCCCTGGTACACAGTGAACAAATGTTGGCCAGTTCCTCCTGAACTGGCCAATTTTGGGCTGTGTGTACCCAGCTTTAGGTCTGGCCCAAGTAGGTACAGGTACACTATCCATTTTCCTGTCATCTGCATTCCTGAGCCTGGATTGTGTCATGCTGTTTTATTATTATGTGCAAACATATGAGAGTCTATATGTAAATGGCTACTGTCCTTTATGTGTTAATCTTTTTGTCTTCTGTCTTGCTCAACATGGATTTTGCCTGAATCACATAACAGTAGAAGGATTGTTATTTCTTGTTTCACAAAGTGACATCCATGGTTTTCATGTGTTTCCACTGGAATTTCCATGCTTTTTGAATGAAACTGGTCACTATTATTCAGGATCGGTCAGACTTTTTTTTGTATTCCAGACAGGGAGAACTGTGAGACGTTTCCACCAAACCATACACTCTTCATTCCTCCCCTCCATTTTAAATGCCACTTGAGCTACCTTTCATACACAGGAGCTTATCCCTATACTCCAATCACAAACTTCAGTACAGCTACCAACCAAACTTTGTCAGCAGCAGTGCCAAGGATGAAGAATGGAACTGGCTTGACCCATCCACACTAAAGCGAGAGACCTTAGAAGCCATGATTTCACCATGGCAGCAAGACAAGTTTTTTTTCAACCTGCTGCAGTTGAAGCTTTTTCTTTGTTAGGTTTCCCCCTTTCATACTCTTAAAGCCACATACTTGAGAGTCTGTGGCATAAAAATAAATCCCAGCAAGCCATTTTTTTTTTTTTTTTTTTTTTTTTTTTAAGTCCGCAAACGTGAGACTGTAACGAAAAACCCGTAAGTGTCCGCAAAAAAGTGCAAGTGCAGAAACACACACACGAAAAACGTGCACTTAGGGGTGTGTTTGTCCTACCCCCGAAAGGGCTGGACCGTTCATGCCGATCCCCCGGGGCACGAAGCTCCTGACAGGGACAAGGTTCCCATTTGGTCCTCCTGGCCAAAAGGCCTGGTGGACCACCGTTCCTTATGCCCAGCCGAAGCCGGACATCCAGTACTAGGCAAGGGGGTTCTCCCGAAGAGAAAAACCCCCTAGGGATCAGGGAGGAAGGAACCGTATGGCCACACATCCTCCCCCTAGACTTCAGGTAAGGCCCGAGGACCCACACCCTCCATCCGTGGAAAAACACACACATAAGAAAGCAAAAAGTGACAAAACGTGGGAGTGAATAAATAAATAGAATAAAAATAAAAAAGTGGTACCGTGCCTAATAGTGCACAGACCAGGCCCTGAGGCCCGTAGCAAAAATTGCCCTGGACTTAGCCAAAAGACCTGGTCCTTAGGGCGCTGTGCAAAAAAAAGAGTGTAAAAACAGTGGCCATGTGTCATCTTCACACCGTGAACCGGGGTCCCACACCCAAGTGTTACTAGTGACACCCCTGAGCGCGTCTCCTCAGGGGGCACTGAGTTTGCGGACTTTTTGCCTCCTCAGCCCCAGGCCAGACCAAGGTAGCATGCTCAAACCAGGAGGAACTGGGTCTTTCCGGTCTCCCCAGAGGAATTACTCCCAAGGCCCCAGAACGAATCATGGCGCTCCCTGGTTTCTGTCCCTCCGGTACTAGCCTTCCGGACCCCCATCATACCAGTGAGGGTACTGTACAACAAACCATCCCCGTAAACTAGAATGGTCGGTAGCACCCCCACTGGACACTGATAAGAACAGATACTACACTTGATCTTAGCCAAAAGGCCGAGAAGCGATCCCAGCAAGCCATTACCCAGTATAAATCTGCCCTCCAAAAATATAATTCTTGCCTCCGCACTGGCAAACAGAGTTAGTTAATCATTCTCATTAACACTATCTTATACTTTTAAATCTCTGCTTTGACCTTCAGTGCCTCCACCCACTAACTCCCTCACTGCCCAGGAGATTGCCAATCACTTTAAATTCAATTGCAATTCATGAGGAGATCTCCACTGTACAGATATCTCCTCCATATAAAATTCCATGTCCACCTGCACATTTAATACTTTTCTCTTTTAACCTTGTTACCATAAAAGGAGATTGCTTATTTTTTTCTTCTGCCCACCTAACCATCTGCCCTCTGGACCCTGTTTCCTCACAACTACTCCACCTCTATCCTATATTCTCTAACTCACATCTTCAATCTCTCCCTCGCTAGTGGCATATTCCCCAACCCTCTTTAATGTGCATTGCTCACCCATAAACAAAAATCCCTCGCTAGACCCAAACAATCTTAACCTATGGTCCACATCCTTGCTCTCGTTTACCTTCAAATTCATAGAATGCCTAGTTTGCACCTGCCTGAGCCACCACCTAAAAACCACCTTCTTCACCCTTTTCAGTCTGGGTTTTGCCTGCAACACTCCACAGAAACCGCTCTCCTAAAACTCATTAATTACTTACTAACTGATAAAACCAATGGTCACTACTCAGTATTTTAAGCCTTGCTACACACTAGTGTGGGCCGTGAGGCCTTGCTACTGTGAGCACAATAGCCCATTCATTTGAATGGACTGCCGTGTTTGTGTTTTTTTGCAGCAAAAGGTACATGCACTTTTTTAAAAGTGTGGTCAAAAAGATCATGTGATTTTCCTGAGGTTCCCACACCCGGAAACGTGCTGCGGGCTGAGATGTGTGGGGGTATCATTCAGAATGAATGGAAGCCCCATGTGTCTCGTAAGCGCAGCATGCAAGATACAGATGTGATTCTCACAACCAGCTGGCACAGTGTGAATCAGAAGTTCATCTTTGACTTCTCTACTGCCTTTGATACAGGGTACCAACCCTTCTTCCCCAACAAACTCCTTTCCTTTGGTTTCTTTGTTGTTTTTTTGCTGGTTCTCCTTTTACATATCTCACTGCACTTTCAATGTCATTTAATACTCCCTCTCATCCCTATCAGGTCACATTACAGTAACTGAAGGTCATAGCTAGAGATGAGCGAATTATTCAAAAATTCGATTCGACTGATTCGGCGAATTCGTGAAAAAATTTCGATTCGAGTCGAATATATTCGCTGCGAATTTAACTTATAAAAGGGTGTTTCTAGGCTTCAGAGAGCCTTTATATTAGTGCAGAACACTGTACCTTTAATTTAAATGCCCTTGGAGTCTGCTGGGGAAGAGAAATAATACTGTCAGTCAGTATGACATGCAGATGAGTGCCGTCGATCTTAGAATCACCGCACACTTCACTCATTTGGCCAGTCACGGGGCCAAAACCAGAGTGTGGAGCCACAGTGTGGCGGTGGAGGAGGCAGCAGCAATGGGAGGCCATACAGCACCCTATGACAAAATGGAACCCACCAGCAGTGTGAGGAGACCTGAAAGTGGCACATGGCAGAGTGTGGCGATGGAGACAGCAGCAATGGGAGGCCGTACAGGGACCCTTGACACACTCTGGACCTGGCAGCAGCATGAGGAGGCGGTACAGGGGCCCATGACAGATTACGGGCCTGGCAGCAGCATGAGGAGTCGGTACGGGGGCCCATGGCAGATTACGGGCCTGGCAGCAGCAATGGGAGGCCGTACAGGGACCCATGACACACTCTGGACCTGGCAGCAGCATGAGGAGGCGGTACAGGGGCCCATGACAGATTACGGGCCTGGCAGCAGCATGAGGAGTCGGTACGGGGGCCCATGACACACACTGGACCTGGCAGCAGCATGAGGAGGCGGTACAGGGGCCCATGACAGATTACGGGCCTGGCAGCAGCATGAGGAGTCGGTACGGGGGCCCATGGCAGATTACGGGCCTGGCAGCAGCAATGGGGGAGGCCGTACAGCACCCTATGACAAAATGGAACCCACCAGCAGTGTGAGGAGACCTGAAAGTGGCACATGGCAGAGTGTGGCGATGGAGACAGCAGCAATGGGAGGCCGTACAGGGACCCATGACACACTGTGGACCTGGCAGCAGCATGAGGAGGCGGTACAGGGGCCCATGACAGATTACGGGCCTGGCAGCAGCATGAGGAGTTGGTACGGGGGCCCATGGCAGATTACGGGCCTGGCAGCAGCAATGAGAGGCCGTACAGGGACCCATGACACACTCTGGACCTGGCAGCAGCATGAGGAGGCGGTACAGGGGCCCATGACAGATTACGGGCCTGGCAGCAGCATGAGGAGTCGGTACGGGGGCCCATGACACACTCTGGACCTGGCAGCAGCATGAGGAGGCGGTACAGGGGCGCATGACAGATTACGAGCCTGGGCAGCAGCAACTTGGACAGGAGGACGTTCAGCTTCTGCACCGTCGGGTGCGTGCTCGCAAACTGTTGTCTCTTGGAAACGGATTCCAAGAAAGACTGCTGACGGAATCCGTGAAGAGGAGTAGCAGGAGAAGGAGCATCTGAACGAGCGGAATATGCCAACAAGCGACAACAGGGGCCCATGACAGATTACGGGCCTGGCAGCAGCATGAGGAGTCGGTACGGGGGCCCATGGCAGATTACGGGCCTGGCAGCAGCAATGGGAGGCCATACAGCAACCTATGACAAAATGGAAACCCACCAGTAGTGTGAGGAGACCTGAAAGTGGCACATGGCAGAGTGTGGCGATGGAGACAGCAGCAATGGGAGGCGGTACAGGGACCCATGAGACACTGTGGACCTGGCAGCAGCATGAGGAGGCGGTACAGGGGCCCATGGCAGATTAGGGGCCTGGCAGCAGCAATGGGAGGCCCGTAATCTGCCAGCACTCTATGACAAAATGGAACACACCAGCAGTGTGAGGAGACCTGAAAGTGGCACATGGCATGACACACTGTGTGGACCTGGCAGCAGCATGAGGAGGCGGTACAGGGGCCCATGGCAGATTAGGGGCCTGGCAGCAGCTATGGGAGGCCCGTAATCTGCCAGCATCCTATGACAAAATGGAACCCAGCAGCAGTGTGAGGAGACCTGAAAGTGGCACATGGCAGAGTGTGGCGATGGAGACAGCAGCAATGGGAGGCGGTACAGGGACCCATGAGACACTGTGGACCTGGCAGCAGCATGAGGAGGCGGTACGGGGGCCCATGGCAATTAGGGGCCTGGCAGCAGCTATGGGAGGCCCGTAATCTGCCAGCATCCTATGACAAAATGGAACCCAGCAGCAGTGTGAGGAGACCTGAAAAGTGGCACATGGCAGAGTGTGGCGATGGAGACAGCAGCAATGGGAGGCCGTACAGGGACCCATGAGAGACACTGGACCTGGCAGCAGCATGAGGAGGCGGTACAGGGGCCCATGGCAGATTAGGGGCCTGGCAGCAGCAATGGGAGGCCCGTAATCTGCCAGCACCTATGACAAAATGGAACCCAGCAGGAGTGTGAGGAGACCTGAAAGTGGCACATGGCAGAGTGTGGCGATGGAGACAGCAGCAATGGGAGGCGGTACAGGGACCCATGAGACACTGTGGACCTGGCAGCAGCATGAGGAGGCGGTACGGGGGCCCATGGCAGATTAGGGGCCTGGCAGCAGCTATGGGAGGCCCGTAATCTGCCAGCATCCTATGACAAAATGGAACCCAGCAGCAGTGTGTGAGGAGACCTGAAAGTGGCACATGGCAGAGTGTGGCGATGGAGACAGCAGCAATGGGAGGCCGTACAGGGACCCATGAGACACTGTGGACCTGGCAGCAGCATGAGGAGGCGGTACAGGGGCCCATGGCAGATTAGGGGCCTGGCAGCAGCTATGGGAGGCCCGTAATCTGCCAGCATCCTATGACAAAATGGAACCCAGCAGGAGTGTGAGGAGACCTGAAAGTGGCACATGGCAGAGTGTGGCGATGGAGACAGCAGCAATGGGAGGCGGTACAGGGACCCATGAGACACTGTGGACCTGGGCAGCAGCATGAGGAGGCGGTACGGGGGCCCATGGCAGATTAGGGGCCTGGCAGCAGCAATGGGAGGCCCGTAATCTGCCAGCAACCTATGACAAAAATGGAACCCAGCAGGAGTGTGAGGAGACCTGAAAGTGGCACATGGCAGAGTGTGGCGATGGAGACAGCAGCAATGGGAGGCGGTACAGGGACCCATGAGACACTGTGGACCTGGCAGCAGCATGAGGAGGCGGTACAGGGGCCCATGGCAGATTAGGGGCCTGGCAGCAGCTATGGGAGAGGCCCGTAATCTGCCAGCACCTATGACAAAAAATGGAACCCAGCAGAGTGTGAGGAGACCTGAAAGTGGCACATGGCAGAGTGTGGCGATGGAGACAGCAGCAATGGGAGGCCGTACAGGGACCCATGAGACACTGTGGACCTGGCAGCAGCATGAGGAGGCGGTACAGGGGCCCATGGCAGATTAGGGGCCTGGCAGCAGCAATGGGAGACGCCCGTAATCTGCCAGCAACCTATGACAAAATGGAACCCAGCAGGAGTGTGAGGAGACCTGAAAGTGGCACATGGCAGAGTGTGTGGCGATGGAGACAGCAGCAATGGGAGGCGGTACAGGGACCCATGAGACACTGTGGACCTGGCAGCAGCATGAGGAGGGCGGTACGGGGGGCCCATGGCAGATTAGGGGCCTGGCAGCAGCTATGGGAGGCCCGTAATCTGCCAGCAACCTATGACAAAATGGAACCCAGCAGGAGTGTGAGGAGACCTGAAAGTGGCACATGGCAGAGTGTGGCGATGGAGACAGCAGCAATGGGAGGCGGTACAGGGGGACCCATGAGACACTGTGGACCTGGCAGCAGCATGAGGAGGCGGTACGGGGGCCCATGGCAGATTAGGGGCCTGGCAGCAGCTATGGGAGGCCCGTAATCTGCCAGCATCCTATGACAAAATGGAACCCAGCAGGAGTGTGAGGAGACCTGAAAGTGGCACATGGCAGAGTGTGGCGATGGAGAGACAGCAGCAATGGGAGGCCGTACAGGGACCCATGAGACACTGTGGACCTGGCAGCAGCATGAGGAGGCGGTACAGGGGCCCATGGCAGATTAGGGGCCTGGCAGCAGCTATGGGAGGCCCGTAATCTGCCAGCATCCTATGACAAAAAATGGAACCCAGCAGAGTGTGAGGAGACCTGAAAGTGGCACATGGCAGAGTGTGGCGATGGAGACAGCAGCAATGGGAGGCCGTACAGGGACCCATGAGACACTGTGGACCTGGCAGCAGCATGATGAGGAGGGCGGTACGGGGGCCCATGGCAGATTAGGGGCCTGGCAGCAGCAATGGGAGACGCCCGTAATCTGCCAGCAACCTATGACAAAATGGAACCCAGCAGGAGTGTGAGGAGACCTGAAAGTGGCACATGGCAGAGTGTGGCGATGGAGACAGCAGCAATGGGAGGCGGTACAGGGACCCATGAGACACTGTGGACCTGGCAGCAGCATGAGGAGGCGGTACAGGGGCCCATGGCAGATTAGGGGCCTGGCAGCAGCAATGGGAGACGCCCGTAATCTGCCAGCAACCTATGACAAAATGGAACCCAGCAGCAGTGTGAGGAGACCTGAAAGTGGCACATGGCAGAGTGTGGCGATGGAGACAGCAGCAATGGGAGGCCGTACAGGGACCCATGAGACACTGTGGACCTGGCAGCAGCATGAGGAGGCGGTACAGGGGCCCATGGCAGATTAGGGGCCTGGCAGCAGCTATGGGAGGCCCGTAATCTGCCAGCATCCTATGACAAAATGGAACCCCCAGCAGTGTGAGGAGACCTGAAAGTGGCACATGGCAGAGTGTGGCGATGGAGACAGCAGCAATGGGAGGCCGTACAGGGACCCATGAGACACTGTGGACCTGGCAGCAGCATGAGGAGGCGGTACGGGGGCCCATGGCAGATTAGGGGCCTGGCAGCAGCAATGGGAGGCCCGTAATCTGCCAGCAACCTATGACAAAATGGAACCCAGCAGGAGTGTGAGGAGACCTGAAAGTGGCACATGGCAGAGTGTGGCGATGGAGACAGCAGCAATGGGAGGCCGTACAGGGACCATGAGACACTGTGGACCTGGCAGCAGCATGAGGAGGCGGTACAGGGGCCCATGGCAGATTAGGGGCCTGGCAGCAGCAATGGGAGGCCCGTAATCTGCCAGCAACCTATGACAAAAATGGAACCCAGCAGGAGTGTGAGGAGGAGACCTGAAAGTGGCACATGGCAGAGTGTGGCGATGGAGACAGCAGCAATGGGAGGCCGTACAGGGACCCATGAGACACTGTGGACCTGGCAGCAGCATGAGGAGGCGGTACGGGGGCCCATGGCAGATTAGGGGGGGCCTGGCAGCAGCAATGGGAGACGCCCGTAATCTGCCAGCACCTATGACAAAATGGAAACCCAGCAGGAGTGTGAGGAGACCTGAAAAAGTGGCACATGGCAGAGTGTGGCGATGGAGACAGCAGCAATGGGAGGCGGTACAGGGACCCATGAGAGACACTGTGGACCTGGCAGCAGCATGCAGGAGGGGTACGGGGGGCCCATGGCAGATTAGGGGCCTGGCAGCAGCTATGGGAGAGGCCCCGTAATCTGCCAGCACCTATGACAAAATGGAACCCAGCAGGAGTGTGTGAGGAGACCTGAAAGTGGCACATGGCAGAGTGTGGCGATGGAGACAGCAGCAATGGGAGGCCGTACAGGGACCCATGAGACACTGTGGACCTGGCAGCAGCATGAGGAGGCGGTACGGGGGCCCATGGCAGATTAGGGGCCTGGCAGCAGCAATGGGAGGCCCGTAATCTGCCAGCACCTATGACAAAATGGAACCCAGCAGGAGTGTGAGGAGACCTGAAAGTGGCACATGGCAGAGTGTGGCGATGGAGACAGCAGCAATGGGAGGCCGTACAGGGACCCATGAGACACTGTGGACCTGGCAGCAGCATGAGGAGGCGGTACAGGGGCCCATGGCAGATTAGGGGCCTGGCAGCAGCTATGGGAGGCCCGTAATCTGCCAGCACCCTATGACAAAATGGAACCCAGCAGCAGTGTGAGGAGACCTGAAAGTGGGCACATGGCAGAGTGTGGCGATGGAGACAGCAGCAATGGGAGGCCGTACAGGGACCCATGAGACACTGTGGACCTGGCAGCAGCAGATGAGGAGGCGGTACGGGGGCCCATGGCAGATTAGGGGCCTGGCAGCAGCAATGGGAGACGCCCGTAATCTGCCAGCAACCTATGACAAAATGGAACCCAGCAGGAGTGTGAGGAGACCTGAAAGTGGCACATGGCAGAGTGTGGCGATGGAGACAGCAGCAATGGGGAGGGCCGTACAGGGACCCATGAGACACTGTGGACCTGGCAGCAGCATGAGGAGGCGGTACAGGGGCCCATGGCAGATTAGGGGCCTGGCAGCAGCTATGGGAGGCCCGTAATCTGCCAGCATCCTATGACAAAATGGAACCCAGCAGGAGTGTGAGGAGACCTGAAAGTGGCACATGGCAGAGTGTGGCGATGGAGACAGCAGCAATGGGAGGCCGTACAGGGACCCATGAGACACTGTGGACCTGGCAGCAGCATGAGGAGGCGGTACGGGGGCCCATGGCAGATTAGGGGCCTGGCAGCAGCAATGGGAGGCCCGTAATCTGCCAGCACCTATGACAAAATGGAACCCAGCAGGAGTGTGAGGAGACCTGAAAGTGGCACATGGCAGAGTGTGGCGATGGAGACAGCAGCAATGGGAGGGCCGTACAGGGACCCATGAGACACTGTGGACCTGGCAGCAGCATGAGGAGGCGGGTACAGGGGCCCATGGCAGATTAGGGGCCTGGCAGCAGCAATGGGGAGGCCCGTAATCTGCCAGCATCCTATGACAAAATGGAACCCAGCAGGAGTGTGAGGAGACCTGAAAGTGGCACATGGCAGAGTGTGGCGATGGAGACAGCAGCAATGGGGGAGGCGGTACAGGGACCCATGAGACACTGTGGACCTGGCAGCAGCATGAGGAGGCGGTATAGGGGCCCATGGCAGATTATTAGGGCCTGGCAGCAGCTATGGGAGGCCCGTAATCTGCCAGCATCCTATGACAAAATGGAACCCAGCAGGAGTGTGAGGAGACCTGAAAGTGGCACATGGCAGAGTGTGGCGATGGAGACAGCAGCAATGGGAGGCCGTACAGGGACCCATGAGACACTGTGGACCTGGCAGCAGCATGAGGAGGCGGTACGGGGGCCCATGGCAGATTAGGGGCCTGGCAGCAGCAATGGGAGGCCCGTAATCTGCCAGCAACCTATGACAAAATGGAACCCAGCAGGAGTGTGAGGAGACCTGAAAGTGGCACATGGCAGAGTGTGGCGATGGAGACAGCAGCAATGGGAGGCCGTACAGGGACCCATGAGACACTGTGGACCTGGCAGCAGCATGAGGAGGCGGTACAGGGGGGCCCATGGCAGATTAGGGGCCTGGCAGCAGCTATGGGAGGCCCGTAATCTGCCAGCATCCTATGACAAAATGGAACCCAGCAGGAGTGTGAGGAGACCTGAAAGTGGCACATGGCAGAGTGTGGCGATGGAGACAGCAGCAATGGGAGGCCGTACAGGGACCCATGAGACACTGTGGACCTGGCAGCAGCATGAGGAGGCGGTACGGGGGCCCATGGCAGATTAGGGGCCTGGCAGCAGCAATGGGAGAGGCCCGTAATCTGCCAGCAACCTATGACAAAATGGAACCCAGCAGGAGTGTGAGGAGACCTGAAAGTGGCACATGGCAGAGTGTGGCGATGGAGACAGCAGCAATGGGAGGCGGTACAGGGACCCATGAGACACTGTGGACCTGGCAGCAGCATGAGGAGGCGGTACAGGGGCCCATGGCAGATTAGGGGCCTGGCAGCAGCTATGGGAGGCCCGTAATCTGCCAGCATCCTATGACAAAATGGAACCCAGCAGCAGTGTGTGAGGAGACCTGAAAGTGGCACATGGCAGAGTGTGGCGATGGAGACAGCAGCAATGGGAGGCGGTACAGGGACCCATGAGACACTGTGGACCTGGCAGCAGCATGAGGAGGCGGTACAGGGGCCCATGGCAGATTAGGGGCCTGGCAGCAGCTATGGGGGAGCCCGTAATCTGCCAGCAACCTATGACAAAATGGAACCCAGCAGGAGTGTGAGGAGACCTGAAAGTGGCACATGGCAGAGTGTGGCGATGGAGACAGCAGCAATGGGAGGCCGTACAGGGACCCATGAGACACTGTGGACCTGGCAGCAGCATGAGGAGGCGGTACAGGGGCCCATGGCAGATTAGGGGCCTGGCAGCAGCTATGGGAGGCCCGTAATCTGCCAGCATCCTATGACAAAATGGAACCCAGCAGGAGTGTGAGGAGACCTGAAAGTGCACATGGTTTGGGGATGATTCATGGCGGATTTAGTCAGTTGTGTCAGGAACTGGTGGTTTGAAATCCAGACTAATCCACGCCTGCCTGATTCATTTTCACAAACGTGAGTCTCTCCACACTTTGGGTGGACAGTCGTGTGTCCTCCGCGGAGTTACAATACCTCCTGCCGCACTAAACACGCGCTCCGATGCCACGCTACTGGCCGGGCATGACAGCCTTTCAAGGGCAAATTCAGCTAGTTGGGGCCAAAGGTCAAGTTTCGTTGCCCAGTAGTCAAGGGGATTGTCTACCTCGGTTGGCAGGGTGCTGTCCAAGTAGGCCCAAGCCTGTTGTTTGAGGTCCTGCTCCAGGTCCACCTGATGCTGCTGCTGCGGCTGGTTAGTAGTTTCCTCACTGCGCTGGTGAAGAAAGCTACTCATCATCGACTGCAGACTGAGGCAGCCGCTGCTGGTGGAGCTGCCACTGCTCCTACCACCCCACCCCTCCCCTGCTGCCATGGCAGCGGAACGCGAGCGCGCACAGGGCCCACAGTGTCTGAGGATGGACGTTGGCGCAGAAAGGCAGAGACCAACTGACTACATAGGTGGTTTTTTATAGTACGTTATTTTGGCCTCCCTCTCAGCAGGTGTGAAAAAGGCCACCATTTTTGAACGGTAGCGCGGGGTCCAACAAGGTGGACAGCCAAAAGTCATCCCTCTGTCTGATGGTTATTATTCGGCTGTCGCTACGCAAGCAACCGAGCATGCTATGGGCCATTTGTGCCAAGGAATGCGAGGGACTCCCTGCCTCCATCTCCACAGCATACTGCCACGGTGCGTCTGGGTCCTCTGTCTCCTCCTCCTCCTCCTCTACCAGATGCTCCTGCTCCTCCACTCCTGTCCGCTGAGTGGAAAAACCACCCATTTCACTCAATAATTCCTGAGCACCAATGTCCTCCTCTACCTCCTCCTCTTCTTCCTGTCCTGCCCCCACAGGGGTCATGTGGCGTTGAGATCTGTGCGCCACGTCTACCGCACCCTGACCAGCCATTGTTAACAGCATTTGTTCCAGGACGTGCAACAGAGGAATGACGTCGTTTCATCCCATAGTCCTGCCGACTCACGAATAGCGTGGCCTCCTCAAAGGGCCTGAGCAAGCGGCAGGTGTCACGCATGAGCTGCCAATGGCTGACATCGAAGTTACACAGGGGAGTACCTTTATCCGCTTGTAACATCAGGAAATCGGTGATGGCCTTTCGCTGTTCGTAAAGGCGGTCTAACATGTGTAGGGTTGAATTCCACCTTGTTGCAACGTCGCAGATCAGGCGATGCTGTGGAATTCCGTTCTGCCGCTGCAGCTCAAGGAGGGTGTGCTTTGCGGTGTAGGAATGGCTGAAATGCATGCAAAGTTTACGTGACATTTTAAGGATGTCTTGCAGTGGGATGGTGGATTTTAGGAACCGCTTGACAACCAGATTGAACACGTGAGCCATGCATGGCGCATGGCACAACCTTCCTTGACGCAGAGCAGACACCATGTTCTTTCCGTTGTCGGTCAACATGGTTCCGATTTTCAGTTTGCGCGGAGACAGCCATCTGTCGATTTCTCTGTTCATTACACTCAGAAGTTCCTCCCCTGTGTGACTACGTTCGCCAAGGCATACCAGGTGCAGCACAGCGTGACACCGTTGCGCCCTGCACATGTGATATGCCGGTCGGGTAATGGGACTTGGCACGGGGGTGGCGGCTGAGGACACGGCGGAAGAAGAGGTGGTAGAGGCGGACATGTTTGCTGGACCAAGGACGTGCAAACGTGGAGGCAAAAGCGGTCGTGACCTGTCCAAGTTGCTGGTGCGGCTGTGCCGGCACCACGTTCACCCAGTGGGCCGTAAATGACATGTACTGTCCCTGACCGTAGTTACAGCTCCACACGTCGGCGCTGCCGTGCACTTTGGCAGAGACCGACATGCTCAAAGACTGGCCCCACCATCTCTTCTACATGTGAATGCAGGGCTGGCACTGCCTTTTTGGCGAAGAAATGCCGGCTTGGCACTCTCCACCGCGGCGCGGCACAAGCCATCATTTCTCGGAAAGGTGCTGAGTCCACCACTTGGAAAGGGAGGGACTGCAGCACCAGCAACTTGGACAGGAGGACGTTCAGCTTTTGCACCGTCGGGTGCGTGCTCGCAAACTGTTGTCTCTTGGAAACGGATTCCAAGAAAGACTGCTGACGGAATCCGTGAAGAGGAGTAGCAGGAGAAGGAGCATCTGAATGAGCGGAAGATGCCAACGAGCGACAACTCCCCTCAGCAGAGGTGTTGGAGCCTTGACACTGGCCACATAGTCGACAGTAACGGAGCGGGGATGATACGGCTACGTTTACTTCCTCGGACGGCTTGACGCAAAAAATTGCCCACACCGCCGAGTAGGAAACTTTGCCCCCGCTACTCCTCACTGGCTGACTGCTACTTCCTCCGTGCACACCGGCACCACTACTGGCCGTGGTGGTAGGCTGCAGTGGAGCTGGTGCTCTACTCCGTGGCCGTTTGCCTCCACTGACACTGCTGCGACCCTGCTGCCTCCTGGCCAACCCACCGACTGTTTTGCTCGCTGCCAAGCTGGCACCCTCTTCTCCTGATGATGCGGAAGAAATTGCCTGATGACGACGAGGCTGCCAAGTGCGATCAGCCTCCTCATCATCAATTAGGGTCTCCGCCTCACTACTAGCCCCCTCGGCTGCGTGTGGGTCAGGAGACAGACCTGTCTCTAGACCGGCTACCGAGCCACTCTCCTCGCCAGTATTCTTCGCCTGGCTGCTGAAGAGGCGGATGTCTCCCCCCGTTCCTGACCGCCCTCTGTTAGCTCTTCCTCACCGACCGTTGGCTGTAGGTGTCAGAGGTGACCTGGGAAGAGGAAGACGACCGAGCCAAACCAATCGATGACGGCAGGGTTGTCGGTGGAGACACGACCGCTGGATGACACTGGGAGCACTGGCCTCTGGCCTGCGAACTAGTGCTGCCTCGACCCCCTTCCTCTGCTGCCACGTCTGCTCGCTCCTAAAACATTGCCTCCTCTGCCACTCCTCTGCATGTTGTCTGACATACTCTTTAATTATTATGTGTCCATGAGTAAACGATTATGTGTCCCTGAGTAAAATTCTGGTGTCCCTGAGGTAACAATTCTGTGTGTCTGTCCCTGAGTAACAATTCTGTGTCCCCATTGTCTGTGTCCCACATGAGTAACAATTCTGTGGTCCCGTCATCTGTGGCGCCTCAATCAACATTCTGTGTCCCTCAGTAACAATTCTGTGTCCTCAGTAACATTCTGTGTCCTCGGGAGTAACATTTCTGATGTCTGCCCTGAGGTAAAACAATTCTGTGTCCTGTAACAAGGATTGTTCTGAGTAACAATTCTGTGTCCCTGCCATAACATTGATGTGTCCCTAGTAACATGTTCTGTGCCCTCAGATAACAGTTCTGTGTCCCTGAGTAAACAATTCTGTGTTCTGTCCCTGAGTAACAAATTCTGTGTCACGGAGTAACAGGTGCTGTGTCCCTCAGTAACAATTCTGTGTGTCCCTCAGTAACAATTCATGTGTCTGTCCCTGAGTAACAAGATTCTGTGTCCCTCAGTAACAATTCTCTGTGTCCCTCAGTAAAATTCTGTGTCTGTCCTGAGTAACAGTTTCAGTGTCCCTCAGTAACAATTCTGTGTCTGCCCTGAGTAACAAGTCTGTCCCCAGTAACAATTCAGTGTCCCTCAGTAACAATTCTGGTCTGTCCCGGAGTAACCTTCTGTTCCCGGAGTAAC